AGTTTTTCCCTGCTATTTAGCAACACTCATTAACAAATAAAAGGTTCTAAACCATCTGTGCAATGCTAGAGCCTAAAGCCAGGTATCAGCTAGTTTAATCTACTGTAATAAAATAATATATGATGTATAAATAATCTGTTATTTTATTTATTTTTGCATATCTCCATTACCATGGATTCTATATCATATATATATATATATATATATATATGCATATTTAGGATATTTTTACACATTGAAGGCCATGTGTGTAAATGAAGGTGCAGTCTGCCAGTAAATATGTTTTTTTAATACTTCTGACCTGATATATGTCTCCAGGATAGCAGGTATCCAGATGCTCCAGTTACACTGGTCCAGTTCAGTACAGTGCTGTTGTCGGTGGTGTTCAGAGCACTGAATCCAGTCACCTTGGGCAGATCCACTGTAACACAACAGCAACATTAATTCAAGTACATTTACATGAAAACAAGCAGTTTGAAATATCAAAAGCGACTTACATGTGCGGGCGGTCACCATTACTGGACTTCCCTCTTTGCTTCTGACCACTGCAGAAACCTGGATCTTGTATGCAGAACTGGCAGGCAGATCAGTGATGGTGAAGGACGTGGCAGAAGAAGATACAACCTCACTCTTTTTTTCTCCACCTGAGAGAAAAACACAGAATAGCAGAGTAAAGATGATGGATGGATTGTAATCAAGTGTTAATTTTAATGGATTGGAATGAGGACTGCTGGTACCCACCATGGAAAGAACTCCAAGTGATCATGTACCCAGTGACCCCTGGTGTTTTCTTCCAGGCCAGTTTGAATGAGTTGGCACCAATGTCCACAACTTTTACCTCCCGAACTGTTTTAATCAGCTCAGAGTCTGTCAAAGAGGCTGCAAATTCATAAAGGTAAAACAATTAGTAAGACCTAGTTTTGATATAAATAATTCAAACATACATATTACTGTTTTGTTCTATTTTAAAATGCATGTATTATTTAAAATGTATTAAATTTGAATTTATTCATATTAAAAATTCACTCAAATATTTAACTTTTTTTT